CGAACTAGGCTGACACCACTGCACTCTAGCTGAGGTGACAGAGTGAGACTGTCTCAATAATAATAATAATAATAATAATAATAATAATTAGTTATATATTGCTGCATAACAAATGACCACAAACTTGGCAGCTTGGAGCAACACACGTTTATGGTCTCCCAAGTTCCGTGGATGGAGACTCTGGGCGTGACTTAGCTGCGTCCTTTGCTTGGGTCTCACAAGGCTGTGGCCAAGGTACCAGTCAGGGCACGTTCTCAACTGGAGGCTTGAGGCGAAAGATTCTGCTTCAGCACCTGCTCAGGTTGTCAGCAGAATTTATGTCCTTGTAGTTGTGGGACGGAACTGGCTGTTGGAGGCTGCGCCCAGCAACCTGCCACGGGAGCCTCCCAGCAGGGCCGCTCACTCCTGCAGCCAGCTGGGGAGGGAAGTCTCTGGAGTGAGTCTGCTAACAATACAGAGGCACAGGGGGTAATTTCAGCACAGAAGTAACCTGCCGGGATGCCGCTTGGCCATTTTCTTTGAGAAGCAAGTCACAGTTTCTTCCCACACTCAGAAGGAGGGGGTTGTATTGTGCGAGGGCATGGACGCCGGGAAGTGGGGACGCCGAGGCTCCGTTACAGCCCGTCTGCAAGAATGAATGGTTGTAACCGTCTGCAAGAATGTAAAGGAAAATGTGCTCGTAATGAATGAAAACATATGAGCTTTCATATGAGAAATACAAACCATAGAAAAAGACCCAGTGGAAATTCTAGGACTGAAAAACACAATGTCTGGGATAAAAACTAGGTGGGCTTAAAAGCGGATTAGAGATGAAAGAATTCAAAAGATTCAAATCAGTGGATTTGAAGCGGAGCCTTTCAGGAAGGCCCCAGGAACAGCCACCCCATCGGGCCACGACACCCGTTGCGTTCCAGGCGCCTAAGCTGTCTTCCGTCGTCTGTGCTGCGGCCACAGAGCCACCCTCACCCGCCCCCTGCGGAACATTCTGCAGCTTTTTCTTTTGGGTGCTGTTGCTGCTGTTGTTTTGAAGTTTAAATTTTCTCCTAGTTATTACGCTTTCTACACATCTTCATGCCTCTTTTTGTGCTTCCCCTCATATTAATATCACGAGCATTCTCTCTATTTGCCCGATCTCCGTGAAAATGTCGTTTTTATGAATTCTATTCAGATATCTGATTTGCCATCACCCTAGTAGTTTTTGTTTATTTGTTTTGAGTTTTTTGTTTGTGAATATAAACAATCTGGCCACTAACACCTTTGGTCAAAACGCCTCTGCTGCATGTAGGATGGGGCGAGTCCCAGCGGCGAAGTCACTGGCGCGAAGGGAACAGCTTTTAAAACGCTGAAGCCTCGGGAAGGCCCGGGTCCCGCAGGCCGGGCTCCCTGGCGCTCTGGCTGCCGAGGCCGCCGCAGGCCGGGCCGGCCCCACGCAGAACGACACCTTCTTCAGCCGCTGCGGTTTGCATTTACTTAAACACTTCTCAGCAGGTCAATTAACCCAATTAGTTTCCGCTTTGGCCACCTTGGCCGTGGCCTTCGCCCATGTCACCCCAGGGCCTCAGCGGTTTCCCGTCAGTGTCCTGGGCTCTGAGGGTGCCGGGGGCCAGCACTCTGCCCGGTTTCCCCCAAACGGCTTTCCCATCGTTTGCCTCCTTCCTTTGTAACCGACGTTGCTGGTATTTTTTAACTTGGGGGCCACAGCTCTTTCCTTTTGTGCTGTTTCCCATGACGTCCAACCTTAGAAAACTCTGATCTTTCCAGAGAGTTGACAAATGTCCGATACTATTTTTTTTTAGGAAAGATTGATTTTTTCAAAACACAAAAACCTTTCTGGAATTCGATCCCCTCTCCATGAGTTTGGCGGGTGGTGTGAGGAGGGACCGCTCCGGCTCCGGGCCCTGGGCGCCGCAGGCTCCGGCCGGGAGGTGGGTGAGGCCCCGCTGCTGCTCCCGTCACTGAAGTCGCCGTCCCTTGTCCTCAGGGCTCCAGCTTCCCTGGTGTCCTCACTTTCTGCAGCGAGTCCTGGCTTTTGTAGTTTGCTTGGCTTTGAGGCAGAGCCACCCCGAGAGGAACTGGCTTTTAAAAAGCGGGGTGCAGGGCAGAGAAAGCTGCAGGAGGGAGTAGCCCCAAAGCTCCGGGACGGCCTCTGAGATTCGGGGCGTCGGCGGTAGGGCGCCTGCAGAAACGCCGTCACCCAGACCTCGGGAAACACTTCCCACAGCTTATAATTAGACATTTTTTCCCCCTTAAAGCAGCGGTCCCCAACCTTTTGGCACCAGGAGTCGGTTTCAGGGAAGACAACTTTCCCAGGCACGGGTGCTGGGGGCCCCTAACAGGCCGCAGACCCGCACCGGGGCTCGGGGACGCGCAGCCTCGGGGAGTCTGGGCACAGGGCTGCGGCCTGTCCCGTCCACCGTGTTCCCGCGCGGACGGCGCCTGCGCCCGGCGAGCGCCCGAGTCCCCCCCCTCGGCCGCTCCCGCCGCCTCCCTCCGGCGCCCAGGGCAGGGCAGGGGGCGCCGCCGGCAGTGGGGCCCTTACCTGCGGGAGGCGCCCCGGCCCGCCGAGGGGGCTGCGAGCGAAGTGAGACCTCGCGGTGGGGAGGTCCCGCCCCGGCGACCCCCGGGGCCCCCACTGCCTCGCGGGACCCCGCGCTCCAGGTCCGCGCGCCGGCCGCGCCGGCGGGGAAACCGAGGCAGGGGCTGGTCTGCCATCCAGCGCCCCCGCGCCCCCCACGCCCAGCCCGGGCAGCTCTGACGTCAGCCCCGTGCCCCGACAACCTGCCGCCCTCGGGGCGGGACGCGGGGCCTTCCTGGCTCGGCGCCCTCCCGAGCCGCTTCCGCCCGGTGCTGGGAAGCCCCCGCCCGCCGGGACTGGGCGGCGCCGCCAGGGCCCCGGTGTCGCGGGAGGAGGGGCGCGGGGGCGCCGCCCACCCCCGATTGCTCCCCTGCTCTTCGCGCCCCAAGCCCGGCGCCGGCTTTTCCCACCGGAGAGCGAGCCCGGCACACAGCAGGTGCCCGTCCGTGCCGCACGAATCAACAAACCAACGAATGGCACAGGGAGGGTCCCACGGGTGGGCTGTGGTCGCTCGTGCGGGGCAGCCCCAGGCCACAGGCACGCGGAGGGGCGGGCACGCCCCGCACCAGCACCCTGTGGCATCTTGGGGTGAAGGGTCCGGCCTGCGGACTTCTGGGGTTCAGGGCCAGGTCACGGAGGAGCCGGGTTCTGGGGTGCCTCCTTCCTGGGGAGCAGAGCTGGCCGGGCCGGGCCGACAGGTCGGGCGGCATAGCCGGGCTGGCGCTCACCTCTGGCATAAAACCCACTTCATGGAGCCGGGCAGCGCCAGTGCTCCGGAGCTCGCGCGGCTGACCCAGGCCCCGCGCCCCAGCCAGGCCCGAGGACATGAGGCGGCCCCTGGCGGTGGAGCTGCTGCTGCTGCTGCTGCCGCCGTTCGGTGAGTCCGGAAGGCGCAGCGAGTGGCTCCTGCCTGGAGAGGCCGAGCCCCCCTCCCCGCCCCAACTGTGCCATCCCCAGGCTCGGCAGGAAGGTCCCGGATGTGCCGCCTGGGGAACCCCAAGTGGGGAGGGCAGGACGGGAGTGTGGGCACAGGCCTGAGACGAGCTGGGGGCCAGGACTGGCAGGGGCCTCCTCCCTGCCTTTCCCTGGGCGCTCGCAGGGCGCTCAGCTCAGGGCCTGCTCCCCGGTGTCCTCATCTCAGCCTGTCCCCCCACTCCCCAGATGGAGACATGGGGGCTCCAAATCCCTGGGCTGCCATAGCTGGGGGCTCAGCAGAGCGTGGGGGCGGGGGGTGCAGGCTGCAGAGGGCCCCCTCCCGCTGACAGAGAAGCAGGCGGTGCCCACAGTGCCCTCTCCCTGTCCTGGGTCAGAGTCAGCAGTGCCAGCCCCTCCCTGCGGGGCGGGCCACTCTCTGCCAGGGAAACCCTCCCACATTCCTCGGCCAGCCCAGCCAGCCTGGCAGCCCCCACACTTCCCTGTCCTCAAGTCACCTCCCAGGGCTGGGCCAGGTCACCCCAGATGGCAGCTCGGCCAGGGCTCCATGCTTCCTCGTTCTCTGGGCTAGGAGGGCACCGGGGTGGCACCTCTGGGGGGCCTCCCACTCCTGGCCTCTGGCACAAGGATAATGGCATCATTGAGGGGAGCCCTCTCACGGGGCTGTAAGGCAGCAACTGCTCCCCACGGGTTGAGTCATCAAGGTCACTGCCAAAGTGGGAAACGTGGCTGTATTTGGCTCCCAGTCCATGGTGACCAGAGGGTGGACTCCCAGATGCCACCCTCAGCCCCGGCCAGGGGGACCCAGAACCGCCACCAGAACTCTGGCAAGTGCTGCCTGGGACTTTAGGCCTCACCCAGCCCCACAGGCTACAGGAGCGTCAGAGGCTCCGGGCCCAGGACGACGGGCCTGACCCACCAGCTGTCTTGTCCAGCTCTCAGCAGGATGACCACCCGGAAGAGCCCAGCTCCCCACATCACCCCTTCCTAGCCAGCCCCCCACAACCACTCTCCTCTGTCCCTCCACACATTCCCTGAGCTCAAGCCCCAGATGTGGGCTCTGCCTTCACGGACCTCCTGGGCCCAGAAGTGGGATGAGACGCCGACTTTAATTCCAGGGTGAGGTGGGCAGAGCTCTGTGAGGCCTGTTGGGAGGACAGAGAGGTCAGGAGAGGACACGAGGCTTCCAACATGGACAGTGCATGAAAGGAGGGCTTCCCGGAAGAGGCGGCACTTCGGTTAGGCCTTGATCTCTAGATCGAGGTTCGGATTTATAGAGACTGGGAGGAAAGCGTATCCGGGTGTGGGGTGGGGACAGCAAACACTCAGAGGCGAGGCTCGGGCTACACCAGCAGCAGGTCGAGCTAGGGAGGACAGGTCTGCACGGAAGGAGGGTGGCTGTGGACGGGGCAGGGAGAACCGGGACTAGGCTGCTGCACAGTCCCCGGGGGCAGAGGGGGAGGAGTCTCACAGCGAGGACAGAGGGTGGCGGATCGCAGCGCACCTTGCAGGCATCACCACCAGGCCTGAGAAGGAGCAAGGGGTCAGGTGCTGGGAACCTCAATTGCTTTGGGGGCTGGGGCGAGGATCCCCCAGGGGGCATTTGCACTTTAAATGGCACCTCATGGACACAAAGGAGCGAGCAGCGTCCAGGGCGGACTTCCCACTGCCCTGCTCCTCGGCCGCCTGCTCCTCCTGCCCTGTCCAGAGACCTCGCCCTCCGCGTCCTCGCCCCCCTCGGGCCCCTCAGCTGGGACCCTTGCAGCAAGAATGAGGGTCCTGACAAAATCCTCAGGGTCCTCGGACACCCCACAGCCGCTTCCTGTCCCCACGGCCCCTTGACTCCACGGCATCGGTTACCTTTTCTGGACAGAGTGAAGACTTGATCCATAGGTTCCCTGCCCTCTGGGCCCCGGAGAGAGATTGGGGCCGAGGGCTGGGGCGTGGAGACGTGGCTGTTCTGATCCCTCGCCCCAGACCTGCCCCCAGGAACCAGACACACTGGGCGTGGGGCGCCCAGGGGTCTCTTTCGAGGCAGGCATTTCAGCCGTGGTGCTGACCCTGGGTCGGGGGCTGTGGGCCACCTCCCTGGCTGGGGTCTCCGGCTGGGGTGGAGGTTCCAGCACTTGGTAGAGGCCGTGTCACAAGCCTTGCCCTGTGTCCAGAGGTGTGGCGGGCAATGGATCCCCGTTCCTGGTTTCCCGAGAATGGCCCTAGTCCTCGTTTCTCTGCCTGTCCCCTCCCACTGGAGGATGGGGCACATGTGGCCCAGCAGGGGTCTTGGGTTCCACCCGCAGAGCCCGCTGGCGTGACAGAGAGAGGGAGTCCTGGAAGGCTGGCCCTTGGTGGTCACTGGGCCAGCTTCTCTACTCCCCTGAGACCAGGGAGCAGCCCGTGGGGCTGGGGTGGAGGCTCAGGGCGGAGGTGAGACTGGGGGAAGAAGGCAAGGGGACTTGCTCCCTCCAGAACAGACCACGGGAAGCGCCGGGGCTGACGGGCAGAGGCAGCTCCCTGGGCTTTCCATGATCCGGCTCCAGACTGTTCCAGGAGAGAGGGAGACCCTACAGTGCCGGGGCTGGAGGCCAGACCCTCCGCTGAAGCTTCTAGACAAGGATGGGTGTGGGGTGTTGAGGGAGAGACCCTTGCAAGGATGAGAAGGGGACATCAGGCGACAGGGTGCCTTTACTGGCACCTCCTGACCCGCTCCCCGTGTGGCAGAGAGATTGCCCTTGCAGAACAGCTCTGACCCACAGGCCTGGGCCTGTAGACGCCGCAGAGCCAGGCCACGGGGAAAGGAAGATCCCCGGCCCCTCCTCCGGGATCCCTCTGCCACTGTCCCTCCTGAGCCCTGAGGAGGCGGGGGAGGGGAAGAGGGCAGGGGCCGCACACACCACTGGGAGGGGCGGGGCGGAGCAGGCCTTGGCAGTTGGCTGATCACCCCTTTTCTCACTTCCAGGGACGCAGGGGGCCAAGGTGTCAAGAGGTGAGCATCCCAGGCCCTTGGGTGGGAGGGACAGGAGCCGGCTCGACTGAGAGCTGCAAGACTGGCCAGGGACACACACGTGCCCAGAAAGGACAATAGATGTGCAAGAAACGTTCCTAACATTTCCTGACACAAAGTTAGGAGAGGCTGTGGCTCCGCAGGGCTGGAGCCCGGGAAGGAGGGAGGTCTAACACGCACTGCGGTGTGGGGCTGGGGGTGGGGGCAGGGTCTGGAGATCATCCGGAACAGTGACTGTCCCCTCTGGGTCGCCTGCCTCTCAGAGGGCGCAGTACCCCAGCCGGCGCCTGTTTTGTGCCAGGCCCTGGGACGATGTGTCATCCCAACCCTCCCGGGCCCCCAGAGGTGGGGCTTATGCCGCCTTCGACTTGGGGGGACAGCCAGGCTCCCGGCAGCTGTAACAGCCTGCAGGGTCTGCCTGAGCCAGAAGCTACCCCGTGCGTGGGCCCCTCTCGGGCAGGGGGCAGGGGGCTGAGGATAGAGCACAAAGTAGAAGCTGCAGTGTGGGATTGGGGGGAGCAGAGCACAAGCCCCAGCGAGCACCCACCCCCGCTGTGTCCCCCCAGCCTGCGGGCGCCCGCAGAGGCTGAACCGGATGGTGGGCGGGCAAGACGCCCTGGAGGGTGAGTGGCCCTGGCAGGTCAGCATCCAGCACAACGGCAGCCACTTCTGCGGGGGCAGCCTCGTCACGGAGCGGTGGGTGCTCACCGCCGCGCACTGCTTCTCCAAGTGAGTCCCGCCTCCCGCGCCCGCCACTTCAGTACCGCGGACAGCGCCGCCTGCAGCCTGAGGGGCCCTGGCTGCCTTCCCCGCCGGATGCTCCCTTTAGGTCCAACGCCAGGGCTGACTTCCAGCCGCAGTCGCTGCCCCAGCCCTTCCTCCCGCCAGCCTGGCTGCTGCTCTTGCCAGCGAGGCACTTGGCCACGCCTGGGGACCTGTGCCAGGAATGCTGGCAGACTCCTCCCTCAGCCTGGCCTCCCCCATCTCAAATCCAGGACACTGCCTTCCTGGCTGGGACTGGAGCAGAATGTCCCTTCTTCCAAGGTCACCTGTGGAATCAATCCCTGAGCCAAGGGCCAGGCCACCCAGTCCCCAGCGCACTGGTCCAGACCTGCAGGGTTCCCCAAGCATCTCACCTTCTCGTAGCTCTGAGATTCTTCTAATCCCACATCTCAAATTCAGAAGCTCAGGCTTAGAGAGCAGGTCGCCTGCCCACGGCGCAGGCCGGGCTGGGCCTTGCACACCCCATGCTTGGGGCCCTGCCCTTCGCCTCTGGCAGCAAGCCTTGCGGGTAGGGACTGCTACTGTCCCTACGTTATTGATGAGAAAGCTGAGTCACAGAAAACTTGGTCGGTGACTTGCCCAAGGCCACCCAGGGGTCAGGGGTGGAGAAGGGGATCAAGGCCAGGTGGCCTGGCCTCAGTTTCCACACCCTGAACTGTGGAGGACTGCCTTGGAGACGATGTGCAGAGGGGGTGTCAGCCCCGCAGTGGGCCAAGGAGCACCCCCAGCCCCTCCCACCCCCCTCTCCGCGTGAGGAGGGGATGCCCGGGCCAACTCTCTGCTCTGCCCCGCAGCACCTCCGAAACATCCCTGTACCAGGTCCTGCTGGGGGCGCGGCAGCTGGTGCAGCCAGGGCCACACACCGTGCATGCCCGGGTGAAGCGGGTGGAGAGCAACCCCCTGTACCAGGGCATGGCCTCCAGTGCCGACGTGGCCCTGGTGGAGCTGGAGGCACCAGTGACGTTCACCAACTACATCCTCCCCGTGTGCGTGCCCGACCCCTCGGTCGTCTTTGAGACGGGCACAAACTGCTGGGTCACGGGCTGGGGCAGCCCCAGTGAGCAAGGTGAGCAAGGGTGCTGGCCCAGGAACAGGGCACGTGCCCGGAGAAGGCATCTACACAAGATCTCTACTCGCACAGGCGGGTGTGGGCAGCGGACCCAGAAGGCCGAGCCTGGAGAAGTGGAGGGAAGGGGCAGAAAGCCCCGCCTGACACTTAGAAAGAGGGAGGAAGTCAGTCCGCCAAGCCTTGAGCCAGGAGAGAAGATCTAAACATGAGCACAAGATGGGGAGGGAAAGGCCGCGCACAGTGGCTCATGCCTGTAGTCCCAGCACTTTGGAGGCCAAGGTGGGAGGATCACTTGAGGCCAAGAGTTTGAGGCCAGCCTGGACAATGTAGTGAGACCCCATCTATAAAAAAATAGAAAAACTAGCTGGGCGTGGTGCCACACACCTGTAGTCCCAGCTACTCGGGAGGCCGAGGCAGGAGGATCGCTTGAGCCCAGGAGTCTGAGGATACTGTGAGCTGTGATGACGCCACTGCACTGTAGCCCAGGAGACAGAGCGAGACAGTTTTGGAAGATTAAAAAAAAGAAAGAAAAGAGAAAGATGGGGAGGGACAGAGCAGGGGCTGCCAAGACCCCAGGGCCGTGGGCCTCACCGAGACCCCACTGAGCTGCAGGCTGCTTCCTCCGCAGACAACCTGCCCAACCCCCGGATCCTGCAGAAGCTGGCCGTGCCCATCATTGACACACCCACGTGCAACCTGCTCTACAGCAAAGACGCCGAGTCTGGCTTCCAGCTCAAAACCATTAAGGACGACATGATCTGTGCCGGCTTCGCCGAGGGCAAGAAGGATGCCTGCAAGGTAGGGGCCGACGTGGCCAAGGAACTCAGCCCTGGCCTCGGCCCGGTCCGGGTGGGCGGTGCTCCCGCTGCGTGGGCTGAGCATCCAGTCAGCTGGGAACCTTGTGTTGAAAAAGCAGATTCCTGGAACCCAGGAGAGTGTGAGTCAGTGGGTCTGCGGTGGGCCTAGGAAACTGCATTTTCAACACATCCCCTAGGTGACTAGGGCAGGTGATCTGGGGACACTAGAGAAATGGGGACCTTAGTCAAGAAAAGGAAGGCCAGGGAGGCTGGGGGCAGAGAGGCAGACGCAGGGCAGAGTTGAGCGCACGTGTGTGTACCTGCCACGCTGCCTCTGAGCCGCGCTGGGCTCGGGTGGACTCTGACAGCGCCTCTGCTGACCCGTAGGGCGACTCTGGCGGCCCCCTGGTGTGCCTTGTGGGCCAGTCGTGGCTGCAGGCTGGAGTGATCAGCTGGGGCGAGGGCTGCGCCCGTGAGAACCGCCCTGGCGTCTACATCCGGGTCACTTCCCACCACAACTGGATCCACCGGATCATCCCCGAGCTGCAGTTCCAGCGGGCCAGGCCGGGCGGCCAGCAGAGAGGCCCCCGGGGCCAGCAGCCCCTGGGCCGGAACCTTGCGCCCTGCCAGGCTGCCCCCACCGTCCTGCTGGTCCTCCTGGCGCTACTCCCCAGCCTCTGAGCCCGCTCAGGCCCGCGCTGTCCCTTTGTAAGTAGCCCCCGTCCGCCCCCTCCAGTGCCCACTTATTTTTATTTATGTTCACCCAATAAAATCCCAGCGCCAGTACCGCTGCCATGGGCGACCTGGGGCTGAGACGGGTCGCGGTGGGGAAGACGCGGAGGGCTGGCTTCCCAGCAGGAAGGGGCCGCAGCAGGCACCAGAGGCAAGGACACCACTGGACTCCTGGGCTACAGTGTCCCTGTGACACCTGTCCCGGCATTCCCCGCTGCCCTGCTACTGCCACCCCTGCTGCTTCCTCACCCTGAGCGTCTGCCGAGAGCCATCCTGGGCCGGGCACTGGAGACAGTGACAGACACAGGTGCAAAGACCATGGCAGCACAGCCGGGGTCTCAGCGGCGGGGGCGGGGGCAGGGTGCCTGCCGGGCATCACCCAGGCTTCTCTGAGTGGCGTCAGCAGGGAGACTGATGGCGGCTGTCCGCCGGGGCGTGTGCCTGCGCCCTGTGCTTTCCTGCCCCGTGCAAGGAGGCAGGGGCCAGATGGAGGCATCCCCACCCCTGCTGCTCCTGGTGCCCTGGCCTCGTCCAGGGGCTCCCCATGCCCCGGGTTCCCCCCAGACCCCCGCTCCTCTCCTCCACCCCCTTCCTTACACTTCCCACTAGGAAGACCACCCACACACGTGTGCCCGCCCACGCCCACACGCACCCAGCCCAGGTCCGGGAGGCGCACCTGTGCACAGGCACAGCCGGCCTGCCCCACACGGCAGGGAAGGAATCCATACCCACTTAGCAAGCACCTGCTGGGCACTGGCCCTGGGGGAAAGCTGGGAACAAAACATAAGGAATCCCCCCTGGAGCGCCACTTCCGTGGGGGAGGCAGGTGCACAGACACCAGGCAGAGGGGGTGGGGCAGGGCGTGGTGCCCCAGGGGCGAGTGCCAGGGCAGGCGAGGTGAGGTCGTCTCTGGAGGGAGCCCTCCCCCACCACCACCACCCCGCCCATCTCTGTGGTGAGGCCTGGACAAAGGCCAGCTCCTGGGTGACACCGGGCAGGGACCAGGCTCCCAGAACACAGCCCCGCCCCACCCATTCACCAGCCCTCGCCCAGACCCAGGAAGGACCACAGAGGTCTGCAGAACACTCTCTACAGGGACCTGGGTTTAAAAGGGAAAACATCTATTTCATGGGATTTCCAGTTCATACTGAGCTCAGCGTTGGAAGAAGGATGTTAGCAAGAGGCCGTCCCAGGTTTCGTCACAGGTTCCCTCTCCCACCCTGGACGGGGGCGCAGCTCAAATGCAACTTCCGTGCTGCCGCCAAACAGAGCCATTTGCCAGGTGGGCGGCGGCAGCAGGGCCCCTTGCAGCTGCAGGAAGAACTCAAGGGACAGGCTGGCAGGGACTGGGCACAGAAGGCAGGCAGGAGAGGGCTGGAGCCACCTTCCTGGGCTCAGTCCGGCGGGGTCGCAGTGAAAGGCCACCTCGGCCAGCCGCAGCAGCCCGCAGATGAGGCAGGTGCCGGGGCCAGACAGCCCTCCAGGGGCTGCAACCAGAAACCCACACACACGTGTCACACGTGCCCACACACCACACCCCCCCACATGCACACGCACCATGATCGGCCTGGGAGCCCGAGGAAGAAAAACCGCCGCGCCACCAGCCCTGCTGGCCTCAGACCCTGGGGAGGGGTCAGCACAGGCAGGCCCGCCCCGAGCCGAGCCCCAGACACAGGGCATCTGCGTAGGGGGGTGGTCTGAGGGCAATGTGCCCCCCACCACCCAGCACTTAGGTGCTCACAGGTGGGGCGGGCAGGGGCAGCGAGGAGGGGAGGCCCCAAAGCCAGAACCCCGCCTGCCCCACAGGTTGCGGCTGGCATGGACATGTGCAGGGTCAGGTGCCAGCCGGCCACTGCCACCAGCTCTGGAGGACGGAAGATGGAGACCCTTGGACACCAATAAATTGAGGGAAGGGGAGGGGAGAGATGCCAAGGAGGGGTGCGTGCCCCCTGCAGTGCCCTGGAAGGTTCCAGGCATGGGCTCTGCAGAAAGCCCAGTGTCTGGGGAACTGCGTGGGGAACCCGCACGCCCCGAGCCCTGCTCCCCTCTCCTGCCCTGCCCTCTGGCTTCCTGGAGCCACAGGGCTGGTGGCCTGACACTGCCTCGAGAGATCCACCTCCCCAGCCCCCCCGCCCCCGTGGAGGGCAGGCTGGGCCAGGGCTCCCCCCACCCAGCAGACCCAGCGGCCCTGAGGGCGCTCGGCCCGGCCCAGGACGCGGACTGGACAGCCAGCCCTTGCTTGGATGGGAGACGGGCTCCAGCTTTGACTGGGGACATCTGCCACGCTCAGGCCTGCCCAAGTGCTCATGGCCTGCCTGGCCAAGGGGCCACAAGGCAGGTCCAGGTTCCAGACGACCGGAAGACTCCCTGGCTGCACACTGAGCACCCTCAAGCCCCTCGTCCCCGCTGTAGGCAGCCTCCACTCCATCCCCACCCCACGTGCCAGCACAGGAGGGCAGGACAGTCCCCAGCAGGACCTGGGGTCAGGACGGGCCCATCAGCTGGCTGGGCCGGCCACACACCTGGAAATAGGACAAGGCTGGGAGAGACTCCAGCATCTGGGGTCAAGGAATTCTTGGCCAACCTCAGGCAGCCAGAGCCCCCAGAGGACACTGGGAACAGGAACTTCTCTCAAGGAGCAGGGACCCAGCAGCTGAGCTTCCACAGAGCAGCCACCAGGGGCAGCCAGGGGTGCCGGCCTAGAGAACTGCGTCCAAGCCAAGCTCAGCACCCGGCGCCTCTGCCAGGAGGAGAGCCGAGAGCGGTGGACATGAACGCCGTGAGCAATCAGCGCTTTCAGAAAACGTCACTTGAGCTGGGCGAGGTGGTGGTGCCTGTGTCTCAGCTACTTGGGAGGCTAAGACCAGAGGATCACTCGAGGCCAGGAGCTGGAGTCCAGCCTTGGCAACATCACGAGACCTTGTCTCTTACAAAGAAAGTCACTTGTATATGGTCTCCTGTCCCCCGGGATGGGGGCATGATGTCAGCAAGAGGCGGCAAGGGGTCCAGCTCTCATCCACCAGCCCTGGCCCGAGCCAGCCCCAGCAGGGACAGAAACGCGACGGCGGCTCCAGCCCGGCCTGACCGTGCAGGCGGAGCCCCGGCCGGCAGCGCGGGCGGCGTTTCCCTCCCGTGCATTGTGAGACACTCACAGTCGCGATGCTCATCCTTAAATACACAATTTTATTTGCTATTTTCAGGGGAAACTTAGGCATTAAACTGTAAGCTGATAAAATACGGATACCTAAAAAAGTATAAAAGTATAAATATCCCCTTAGAATAAATTTTAGTGAATTAAGTCTTAACATCTTTAAATTAAAAAAAACCACAAGCCTATCTATTATGTCAAGGTCACAAACCAAACGTTGGAGGCGGCGAGCACGCCCTATGCCACAGGCCACGCCCGACGCTCCGATGGGAGGACAGGTGGCCGGTGGCCACACCTGCCCTGTGGAGAGGCTGTTAGGAACTGTTTAAGCCAAACATTTAACAACAGACAAGAGACCTTACAAAAGGAGGAGGTAAGTCCTAGATGCTGGAGACCTTGGTTAAGCAGGTTACTGGCAAAGGAGGGGGGAAGAGGCCTGGGCAGGAAGTCTCCGGAAGCGTTTGACACTAGACATTGTCAGACCTCTGACCTACACGCGGCAGCCCCGGCGGTCAGCGTGCACAGCTCCCTGGGGAGGCCGAGTCCAGGAGGCAAAGAGCTTGCTCATTCGAGGCAGGTCCCTGGCCTGACAAGTCCCCACGACCAACGGAGAGGTCTGCGCTCCAAGCATGCGGACAGCAGTTTCTAAAGGGGTCCTAGCAGCTCCCACGTCACGTCAGGTGGCGGAGCCCGTGCAGGTTGTGTAAAGTCTCAAACATCCCAGAAAGAGAGAGAAGACTGCATAGTTATACAAAGGAAACGAGAGAGCTGGCGAGAGAGACGTCTGTGATGCGCTGTAAACATCCCGAATTGTCAGCACAGCCCAGAGCTGCGGCTCCAGAAGCCGGGTGCACAGGCCTCCAGCCCCACCTCCGTCCCAGGCGCTACAAGGCACTGACGGGCGCCGGCTCCCCCACGAGCCCACGGGTGGGAGGGCGAGGCAATGCTGCCACCTCCCGCTAGGGGGTTTAACAGGCTGGTCCACACGGAGCAACGCGTGTGGGCGTTTCTGGAGAGTATAAACACTGGGGAGGCTACCCACGCTTGAAAAAAGGGATACAAAGTTCTCTCGCCTGGAAAATACAAATGGAGAAGCCTTGACCACTCCGGCTGAGCAGAGCGGGCTCGGAGCCTGTTCCCGAAGGAGGCCGCAACGCTCGGGTAGTAGTGACGACACAGAAGCCACCGCTGTCAGGAGCCGCTGCCCAGGCTGAGAAACCGTCACAAGAGCACACCTGGGAGGCAGCACAGACTCTCTGGCTGAGGACCAGACCGGAGGCCCCACGTGTCGGCCATCGACGCGGCTGCTGCCTCTCCTGCCAGGAAGGCCCAGGCTGCCTTTACAGACTGTTCATGTAGCACCAAGAACGCTGTCCTTTAAACAGTCTTCAGTGACCACACGGCTCACAAGAAGCATCCTACCTCGGTCCCATGTGGCACTTGGAAAAAACAGAACGAGGCCCCCCAGAGACAGCGCCCACTGGCCACGGCACCTCCTCCCCGTGGGACGCCTGGCCCTGGACAGCTGGGCCCGTCTCTCACCACCCACCTCAGAGGCAAAAAAGGATTCACACCCAGATCTCTAGGAAAATGATCAAAAGCAGGTTTCTTCTCACAGCCAAGCTTCCTGGACAAGGCGGTTCATTGCATCTTGGGAAAAAGTATTCATTTCTTCAGCTGTCAATACTGTGTCCCTCACATCCTTGAGCCCCGTTCTTGCAAAATCTGAAAGACACCAAATGCAGAGAATGAGGGCTCAGGCCCCAGACAGGGCAGTGGCCCTGAGCAAGTGCCTGCTCCGGAGAGCAGAGCCCAGAGGCCCAGAGTCCGCCACAGACACAGACGGCTCTGCTTGGGCGCCTGAGGAACCCGGCCTGGCAGGCCAGAGCGCCCTCTTTGTGCTATTTTTCATTCCTCTGTTGCAGCCTGAATACCTGGAATTTGTGGGTTTCTTCTCTTTGGGAGCTGTCCTCACCTGGGTAGGCTAGGTAAGGGACCAAGGGGGTAAATGGAGAGAAGGGAACTGATTGCTCAGATTTGACACAGAAATGAAAATTGGGGACAGGGCATCTTACAGCCTCTCTTTTAGACTGGCAAGACTTCAGCTGATACCCCTTTTGTTTAAGGTGAGTTGGGTAGGGGTGGCTTGGGTGGGCGGCAGTGGAAGGGACAAAGAAGTAGTGAGGAGCAGGTGGCCGGGCCTGGCTCTGGTCGAGGCTACAAAAGGTGAGGTCTACAGGGGAACCCTTGACCCCTCCCTACTCTGTCTCCAGTGCAATGGGAACACATGTCTATCGCAGTACCCATTACCTGGGGCTGCACTCCATCTGTGCCCATCTTTTCCAGGAGGCCATGAGCTCCTGAGAGCAGCAATCACGTCTCAGGGCCAGCCCAGGGCCTCCACAGCGCGCACACACCCCGCCCCGGCTCACCAGTCCCCACCAGTCCCTCGTCCTAACACCCTCCCTCGCGGCAAGCCTGTTGCCCCTGCCCCACCCTGAGATACCTGGCATGGCCTCAAGGGGAGCAGCTCCTTGGCAAGACCTCAGAGACCCCCCTAGGGCAGTCCCTGCCCCGTCGGCTCAGGGAACCTGCCCCTCCCTCCCAGGGCCCTGTGCCTGGGCCCCCACCTGCTTCTCAGCCTGCAGCTGCATCCCAAGGGGGCAGAGCCCACGTGGGGACTCACCACGTCCCGGCTGGGCCCAGCCCAAGCCTGGGCCTCAGACAGGCATGTGCAGCTGGGCCCCAGGGTCCCAGCAGCCCCTGCCCCACCTGTCCCTCCCCTCTCCACGCCCCTGCAGCCCACAGCCCCGCCTCACACCCTGTTCCACCTCCACACACACACACACACACACACATACACAGGGCCCTCCTGGAATCCCCTCCCCCGCCTTGACCCCCTCACTGGCCCCCACCTCTTCCTGCCTGGGGCTCCCCCGGGACAAGCCCAGGCACTGGCAAATGCTCAGCTGAACCCGCAAAATGAGCCACAGCGGCCTGCAGGCCAGGTGCAGGGGCCACCCTGCGTCCCCAGGCAGAGAGCTTTGGAGCTGGCAAGCTCGCCCGGAGCTGACGGGTTTCGCAGGTCGTGTCCGGGCTGCTAAGTGCCAGGCAAGAGGACAGGACACCACGAGCCCAGCCTGGCACGGCTCAGCGCGGTGACCCCCGCCAGACAACTCCTGGGGAGCCTGCTGGCAGTGGAAGAGCTCACCTCCCCGAGGCTCGACCTGAATGGCTCAACAGATGACACCTTCTCTCAAGTCACTCCTGCCTGTCTACTGACACCCAATGCCCCACCTGTCCCGGGCGATCCCTGCCCAGCCCAGGGCTTCCACTGGCTCTCCAGTGCCTCTGTGGAGCGCCCCTCACCTTGCTGGGGCAGGAGGCCCCTCCCGGCTGACAACAGCAAGCGCCTCGAGTCAGAGTGATGCCGAGCGGATGGCGCGTCTAGAAGAGCCGCGGGTGACAGCGCCACCCTGCTGCTGCCCCTGCTGAGCCCTGAGCCTCCACCACCCCCGTGCAGAGCTGAGGCACCGAGCAAAGGGACATCAGCAAACTAAGCAGGATGACCTGGCCAGGAGCCCGAGGGCCTGTGACCGTCACAGCGCCATCCTTCCCCTCCCAAGGCCAGGACAGCACTGTCTATCCTGGACAGAGTTCGGGTGAGACCCTCCTCTTCTGGGCACACTCCCGCGCAGGGCCACCCTCCACAGTGAGGCCTGCGTCCAACTGCAGAGACCAGCCAGCCGGGGACCAGGGAGGCTGCACCCCACAGGCAACGTCCCTCAGGCAGGCCCAGGCGGCTGACATGGCTTTTGGGAGCAGACAGTGGCATCCGCAGCCTGGGAGGCTTGGGCAGAGCAGGGACATCCTGGGCTCTGGTGTCCAAGATCAGGGTCCACTGTCTGCTGTGTGGCCTTCACCCCATGGCCCTGAGCCCGTGGCCGGAGGCGGCCCCCTGGGGCGGGCTGGCTGGCTGGAGTGAGCGCAACTGCCCAGCCCCCGCGCCCACACCTGCTGACGTCCACTGGCGCGAAGGGCTCTCCGCCATCGCAAGTGCCCGTCCTCCTGCCCACAGTGTCATGGAGGGGACAATGACAGCGTGGCGCCCAGCATCCTAGCAACAGCCCCCGCCCAGGAGGCAGCTCTACTGTGGGTCTACGGTCGGCATCGAGCACGGAGGGTTCTGCTAACTATAGGCACGGGACGGACGCACGGGGCGCTGAGGGAAAGGGTCAGCTGGGTCACAGGGTCAGGGAGTCTACGGTGCAGGGGTCAATCACAAGGGTGCAGAGCTCACCATGACATCTACACTTAATCTGAGTCACTCCCTTCATGACCTTCGTCCTCGTCGTCACTCTGGAGGGGCGGGCAGCGTGCGCGTGGAGAAAAGACACGTCAGGGCGTGAGCTCGCAGACCCGAGGGAAGCCCCACAGCGGCTGGAGAGCCCTGAGCCCAACCCCCACGCCCCGACCACACCACGGGGGAAATTGCCAGGGCTCGGGCCTGTCGCTGCCCAGGGAAGCGGCCTCACCTGCAGATGGCAGCCTGGACCCTAAAGTCCCGGAGCTGCCCCCCGTGCCATGTAGGGGAAACCCTGCCCAGAAAGAGGCCTGGCCTTTGGCCTTGACTCCTGGAAGTGGCCTCCAGCCTTTGGCCCATCCTGACAGCAGGGTCCTTGCTGGCCTGGGGGCTGTGGGTGGCACTGCACAGGCCCCACTGCTGGGTGACAGAGGGTGGGGCCTCAGGTCTGAGGCACCCAGGCCAAGATCAGCCACACGGCACGGCGATCCGTCCATCGCCCAGGCGTGCCGCTGTGACGAAGCCCGAGAAACAGCCTGGACACCAGGGCCCAGGAGCTTCTCTGGCGGGCAGCGCCCCGGGGGTGGTGGGAGGGGACGTGCCCTGACGCCAGGGGGAGCCTCTCCTGGCCGCTGCCCCACGTGTCTTGCTCCATTCCTCTGTAATAAACGGGGGTCCTTAGTCTAACCACTCTCAGTGCATCTGCGAGTCCTTCTAGCAAGTTCTACAGCTTGACAGTGCTTCAGGGGCCCCTGTGCTGGCAGCTAGTGTTGAGAGCAAGGGTGCCTGTGTGTGGACTGTCCCTCTGCTGGCAGCTGGCCACAGCCTTGGGGCTCTGACCCCTTCGCTCCCCATGTTTCCAACTTGAACAGGGGGAAAGGCTGCCCGATAACCAGGAGGCCGACAAACGCTGCAGGGACCCCAGTGAGGAGGGTCAGCAGAGACTCGCTGCCTGCAGAACATGCAGCCCTGCTCCAGCCAAGTTGCACACCGGGAGCCCCAAACCCCCATCCTCCAGATCTGGTCCCCGACCTTCCACGGCCCCTGGAGGCCCTGGACCAGGCTCCGCCTCCTGGGAGCCGCCGCTGCTGCCCCATTTAGAAGCCGCGTGGCCGCCCCACTTCACAGCCAGGTATTTTTGGAGAGAAACAGGGCCACCTTTCCACAGCAGAGGGATTTGGGGTCGCACTCGGGGCTTCCTCACAGCACAGAATGTGTCCTTTCTGTAGCTGAAGAGCCACCTGAGGGAACTGAGCCCTGGTGAGCTTGGTTATGAAAACCATTTAAGTCCAGAAATAAAAACCTTCTAAAAATAAAACAATTTATAAAAAAGCCCTGCAACCGCTCAGAGAGAGAGAGAGAAGAGCCTGCTCCTGACCAGGCTCGGGGCTCTGGGGAGATGGGGCCACCTTCTAGACCCCAGACTGGGTGGAAGCACATCCCTGGGCCGGGCACCGGCAGAGCAGGCCAGGCCTCGGCACACGCAGCAAGCCTGCCGGGAGCCCAGGAGCAGGAGGCTCAGGCCCAGGCGTCCACAGTGAGGATGCTCCCTCTCGGCACGAGTGGTGGGCACGCCGCCATGGGCCTGGCCAGCTCAGCCTCCTTGAGACACGCTTGGTGACTCCACCTGCTCCCAAGCCCACACCTCCCAAGGAAGACCTGGAAAGGCTCACAAGGTCGGTCCTGGGCAGGTGGCTGCCAGCCATGACAACAGATGCTGCTGGCAGCCAGCCAGAGGCCACAGCCAGAGTCCGAGGACACCCCTGGGTTTAATGTCATCAGTTATAACCCTTCCAGTTCTGGCCTTTTCCTGCACCCACTCCAAAGGCCCTTTGGCAACGCCTGAGCCTTTACCAGGGTCACCTGTGGGCCCAGAGGCCTGTCCCCATCTCCCAGGCCCTGCTAGACCCCTCCCAACCCCCCAACCCCCCTCAGCAGGCTGCAGGCTCCCCGCCACGCCTGGCACCGAGGTCTAGGAGTCCTGCCAGGCAGAGCCAGCCCAGGCCAGGCCAGATTCTGCAAGGACAGATGCATCTGTCTGTTCTGGAGCCCCAACCTTAAGAATATGCCCAGAGGAAATGCCACCAGAATGGGTCACCAGGAGGCAGGGCTACAGGGCTAATCCAAAAGCCAGTGAGGCAGGTGGTCCCCTCTGTTTTCTCCCGGCTACCACTAGCCTGCTCAGGAGACAGGGGGCCTGTGCCAGTCCATCCGGGGGGGTGGCCACGTGTGGGCAGACACTCCACGGAGCCTAAGAATCACAGGACCTGCAGGACACTCTCCTTTTACAAACTAAACATACGTTCCAAGAGCAGGCAGGACGTGGTGAGGCAGCTGCCGGCCCTGAGAGCCCATCCATGTGCTCAGGGGGTGCGCGCAGGCCTGTCCGACGGTCCCCACAGGTGGCAGTCCCCTGGGAACAGAGGATCCCTGGGTCCCCCGAGAAAACAGCCCACAGGGGTATTCCTTAAAAGCACAGCCCCTACCAGCAGGCCCAGAGGATACTTCCAGGGCAGCTGTGCCACGAGACGGGAGGGTTCAGAGACCCCTCGTTCCACAGGGGACCCTGCCTCTGACCAGCCAGGCAGGAGTCACGTGAGGGTGGCCCGCAGGGGACCTGGACCCAGCTTACTGAGAATGGTGAGAAACGGGGAAGCTCTGAGGAAAAAAACCTTCCAAAACCCGCCCTTCAGGTGGGGGCAGCCACCTGGGCAAGCCCCCCACCGGGAGGGGCGACTGCGCCCGCTGGCAGCAGGGACCAGCGCTCACCTTGGCTTTCTCGCTGGGCTCGCTGGCCGTGCCATAGGGGGTGTTGTGCAGCTCCTTGGAAACCACACACAGGAACTCCGCCTGGTCTTCGTTCCCGTAGTTGTAGGAGGAGCCGATGCTGACGAGCTGGGGAGACACGAGGGAGGCCCCGTGTGACAGGGGCCGGCTCCAACGCCCACCACGAGGGAAGCTGCAGCCGGCAAATAGCCACAGCAGAGACCGCCAGCCCGCGGGGAAACCGAGGGCGGGTTCCAGGAGACGGTTAATGAACCCACGGAACACACGCTCCTGAAACTCCTGTGTGAGCACGTGCACACACACCCACTGCGCCACTGCGCAGCTGCCGCAACAGGCTCTTCCTCTGTAGGGACACTGAGCTTCCTCAGTGTTTCCAGCTGGGCCAACAGGGCACAGTGACCGACCGGCCCAGGGGAAGGCTCACGGACAGTGGGGCCGGCACGGAGCTGCAGAGCACGCGCACATGGGGGCAGGGGGCTGCCACGTGCACCTGCCACCAGGCCCTCCCCAGGGAAGCAGGACTACTGCGGCTGTCCTACTCCCAGCAGGGCAGGGAACGCGAGGCCAGTGGCTCCGGCCACCTGGAGGGAGGAGCCCAGGGGCCAGCTGCAGAATCTGAAAGACCCACTGGCAAACTGTGCCTCCAAGTCCGGGTGGGTCCCACTGGGACCTGGTGGGCACACCCTCAGGATCTCTAACCCACCCGCATCTCTCCAGGCCACCAGACACGCCACGTGGGGCTGAGGGCCAACCTGCCTGCTCAAGCAGGGGGAGGAAACCCACTCTCTGCAGTGGATTTGGGATCTACCCCGAAGAGCTATGGACAAGGTCCTGACACTGGCTGTGGGCAGAGGCCCCAGGAGGCAGGAGAGCCTCCCTTCTGGCCACAAAAGCCACAGACAGAAGAGCCACAGGCGCTGTGAGGACGACCCACTCATGGGTCCTGAAGTGGTGACACAGCTTCCTATAGCCACCCCCCAACCACCCCGTGGGCAGGGCTCTCCCGCCAGCAGGGGCTGTTCCTGCAAGTCTCTGGCACCGTTTTGATGGGGTCAGAGCATGAGCAACGTGGCCCCTGGCAGGGCAGGGCCTGCACCGACGAGCTGGCGCCTGCCCAGCAGAGACCAGGGTGTCACCTGCTGCCCACCTGCCCAGGGGTCCGGCATGGAGGGTGGGATGCAAACGCTGACCGAACCTGTCTTTAGTGACATTTCAAGGGGACTCTAAGCTCTCTACATAGTGACGCGCTATTTCAAAAGACCCAAAGAAAAGGGAAGCCTTGCTGAGGAGGGGCCGTGGGTAACCACACTCTCTGGCAGGGCCCCTCGCCATGGACAGAACCTGCCTTAGAGCAGACTATCAGGACGGAGACCAGACAGGGTCCTGGTCCCCAAGCACAGTGTCTGCCTATGAACAGCTACAGCGGAGACGACATTGCAAGCCAGCACCCCCCCACCAGAGACTGTGCTGTCGGTGTCCTGAGCTCCCCGATGATGAACCATAGTGCCATGGCACAGGTCACGCCACGCAGGCCGTTCCTCCTGCTGAGGCCACTGGGGAAAGTGGATGCCCTGCACAGACACGGCAGTGCTCCCCGTGGCACTCGTGAAAGCTCCGAGTCCTGATCTGACTCGGGCCGGCAAGATCACAGAGGGAGGAGGGACAACTGGAGCCAGCAGTGTCTCCCTGGCATGAGGGACGGGGGCAGCAGAATGCCACTGCCCAGCACCAGGAGCGGGCATGGGGCCAGGTCACACACAGGGGTGTCAAAGCACCGAAAGGCAGTCCCCAAAAGGATGGGCTGGAGTGACAGGAAAAGGTGCAGAGAAAGCGTCAGGGAGGAGGAGGGAGGACGTGGGTCGGGCCGGGGCAGGACCTAGGATGCCCTGCAGCCCCACCCGAACAAACTCCCCACCTGAACTCCACCCAGGACCGTTCAGGCTGCTGTCTGTGAGCCCCCAGGCCTGGAGGACCCCAAAGCAAGCTCTGCGTCTCCAGGAGCCACCAGGAGGTCAGTGCTTCAGCCAGTCCCTGAGGACCTGGGGCCTTTGTAAGGAAAAGTTCAGCTGCACCGAGGGCTGCTGTCAGCCCAGCCGGAGGCCCCTCACCTGCTCGAACTTCCAGCCGTCGGACATGGTGGACACCATCTGTGTGAGCTCCTCCTCCTGACACTGGAGCACGCGGTACACGTGCTTCACGGGCACCTGCAAGAACACAGCCACAGTGAGACCAGGCCATGCCATATGCTGCTGCTCTGTCCCCAGCCGAGCAGCCCTGCCCAGGCGCTGACTCGGGGCAGCTTTCCAGCGGACCCGAGTAAGGCCGAGGTTCGCTCTCCATCTCTCAGCTCGGGTCACGAGGCCCAAAGCAACCCGAACACATCCACAGAAGCAAACGTGCAGCCTGCAGCAGCTGCTGTTTTCTGTTCCTCGTTCGCCTCCAAAAATATTTCTATCTCTAAATTCCAAAATAAGATGAGTCATGTTCCTGAAATCCCAGAACACCTGTGGCTAGACAGGAATACTCAAGAGTGTCCGTGTCTGCGCCACACAGGACGGCTGGAAGCCTCTGAGCTAACCCGCGGGAAAGGAGAGGCAGGAGGGCCTGGGGTGACACTGCCGGAACCTCCTTCCTGCCGCTGCAGGAAGCTGTGGAACAGCCATGGCAGCTCGGACACGCGCCTCACCCCCCCGTCCCCAGCTGAACTGGCTCCTGAAACTGAATCTGTCTCCTGACCACACCCTGCCCGGCACACAGTCACTGCGCTGCGACCCAGGCGGGCTCTGGTCTTAGAGCCGGCCAGACACAGTTCTGCCCTCACAGGCCGCTAATCAGGCAAGAGGAGGCAGCTGCACATACGAGACACAAGCATGGTGTGGACACGGATTAGGACATGTGACATCGAGGGGAAGGGCCTCAGGAGCCCCGGTCCCTGATGTTAAAGTGGTGACTCATGCTAGGGACATGCAGTGACAAAGTCACACACTAGTCTCCCAGTCACACAGCCTCAGTGCTTCCATCTGCAGGATAGCAAATAAGACTGGCCGCTGGTGTGACCACGTGCCAGGACCCAAGAGGAGGGTCTCTCCCTCACACATGGGTGGGGAGGCTCAGCACCGCCAGGTCACAGGTTGTGAGCGGGACGGCTGGGCCTGGGGGAGAGACACAACCTGGACGGGGTGACCTGGAGCGTCCAGGGCACGTCTCCCGCCCACGATGAGGAGCCCCTCCCGACATCAGGCATGCTCCTGCCTGGCCACTGACAGGCTGCTCTAAGTGGCCAGGCCACCAGCCAGCCTCCACACAGCCAAGCGCGGGCGCAGGGACTGCCTGGCGCATGGCGGGAAGCCCGCTGTGGGGTTCGGGGGGCACGAGAGGGTCTCAGGCAGACAGAGACTCGAGACCTTTCAGTTAACAACAGCCACCGACGTCCACTTCCCGGCATCTTCCTGAAGTGGCTGAACTAGTGGGCGAGGGCTAGGCACTGTGTGCAGAGCTGGCATTGTGACGACAGTAACACCTCGCAGGAGCCAGACACAGCCCACCTCAAACGACGCAGCCCGACGGGCGGCAGAGGGGCTGTGCTGGCTCCGGCACTGGCGCCCAAGCCACAGCAAGAGGTCCACGCTAAGGACCGCACCAGCCTCCAGACACGGCCCCGCCCTCCTCCACAGCCTTTCTCAGGCTGATGCCTGGCACTGTCCCTTCCCCCAGGAGCGGAGCTCCCCAAGGCAGGCGGGGCAGAGCCAGATGGTGCCGCAAGGGGAGCGGGCAGGACAGCAGAGTCATCGGGCACTAAGACAGTGACAGAGGTATCGGCAGGACAGCGACAGCCCCGTCCCAAGGCCCCAAGTGGGAGGCTGCCCAGCAGCTGGGGAGGCAGGAGAGGGAGCCACACCTCTGTGCCAGGCCTTGCAGGCTTCTGGCGCATTAGTCACTTGTCTCACCTGTGACGTTTTGCTGTCTCGTTCTCTAATTTTGTCCTTTACCAGTTTTATTAATGAGGTGATGTTGTAAAATTCCGCTTCCTCCAACACTCCTGGAATAGAGAAAACCAACCGTAACTTTCGGCAGACCAGACCAAGCCAAGGAATAAATGTTTTGTGCCTGTCCTGCCCGCCACGGACCCGCCAGGCCCAGCCGAGGCCTGTAGAACCCTCCAGCCCCGTCCTGGGAAGCTCCGCGGACACTCACTGGCACACGGGGAGGTTCCCCGGGCTCTGGGCAGAAGGTCGAAAACGACCCACTGGGTGCAGAACAGTCCTGCTGGACGCTGCATGTGGCCGGGCCACGGGGTGGGGAGACGTGGGGCTCAGGCCTGGCCAGTTGCCTCCTGCACGTATCTGAGTCACTCGGCGCCTCAGTTTCCCCATCAAAGGCAAGACTGTGGCCAGCTGAGAGGGTCTCCCAGCCCCAGGACCCTCCCAGCACTGCCGTCGGCGCCGCGCCACGTCTAGGACCTCGAACCCTCCCAGGAATCCTTAAGGACAGACTGCGAGGACCCTGCTTCAGAGACCCTCCTGGGATGCTCAATTTCTTCAGCCCTCCAAAGGGAAGCTGCGTGTAGGATGTGACAACTCAGGACAACACACAGTGACCTACTCAGGACAGGGCCAGCGGGAACCGAGCCCCATCCCGGACAGCACAGGCTCCCTGTCCCCAGGCCCAGAGCGTCGCCCGCAGGGCATCCCCCGCAGCTGGGCGCTCCAGTGCCAGGCTCCCTGCACAGCGGCCATGTCCAAGGCCAGTCAGAGGCAGCCAGTGAGACTGGGCGGGGGCGACGTGCGTGCAGCGCCCGAGCTGAACAAACCTCGCTCAGGACAGGTGCCACCGTATAGCTCCACACACAACACAGAGGAGCCGCCCCCAAGCGACCAGTGTGTGACAACGGTTCACTGCCAAAGACAATGCAAGTGGACACAAAGTGTCCTCACAGCCTCTGCGCGGAGACCCTGGGCAGCAGCACCAGCAACCCTGGGGGGCTGCGGAACTCAAGAGAAGGGGGCAGATCCCAAAGCCCAGGGAAGAAACGGAGTGAGACGCAGCAGGCATGGAAGGATCGTTCCAGAGACATGGCCAAGGCAGGAGGAGCCGGAGCCACACATGGGCAAAGGCGCCCAGAATCTAACAGGGCCTTTGGGAATGGGGCCTCCCCGGCTTTCCCGAGCCCACACTGGAGCACACAGACGGGCAGCCTTGGGCCTGAGGCCAGGCAGCTCGCACGTGGGTGTCCCACCCTGTGTGCTGTGACCAGTCGGAATGTGGCACAGCAACTGGTGATGGCACAGAGATGCCCGCCACCCTTGAGCTGTCCTTGCAGGAGAGCAGGCTGGGCATAGTGGGGTCGAGGCACACCCACGAGAGTCACCCGGTGCATCCTAACCTGGGCCTTGGACCACCATGAGAACCCGCAGCCTCCCCAGGAAGAGCCCCCATCCCGACAGGCGTCACTAACGAGACACTTGAAAGAGCCCTCGCAAGGCCTGTGGCCAAGGAGTGCAGCTCAGGCCTCCCACCTTGCTAGGAGGCTCACAGGTGTCTGTCTGGTTGCAGCCTCATGAGACGGTCTCCGGAGGGAGCGAGGGCCCCAGCCCCACTCACAGGTGCAGGACCTGGCCCGGCAGGGGCTCCAGACAGAGGGGTCTGCATCTTAAACAGACCCATCAGTACCGTCGCTGGGTCCCCTGCCCCCAAAGCTCAGGCATCTGTGCAGAAGGACAGCTCACCTTCCTCCGCGAGGTCTTTGTTGATGACCAGCTTCCCGTGTCTCAAGTAGTTCAGCACGGGCCCGAAGTAGGTGGGGTCTCTGTCGATTAGATAGGCACCTGTTTCATCCTGCAAAGAACAAGACACCGTGAGTCCTAGATGAGAAACCAAGAGTTCCCGCAGCTAAACCACGGCCAGGCGACTGGTATCAAAGACTTTCAGAGGCATCAGGGTCACCCCAAACCAGACCGGCGTCCGGGGCACCTTGGGGAACCCGTACACGGTGCTGCCTCGCCTTGCCAGCCACGGCCTCTAGGCTGCCCTGTCGCCACTTCAGGTCTAAGGCAAGTTTTAAGTTCAGTTTGCATCAAGAGGGCCTCCCTGTGTTTGCCCCAAGGCAAGGCGATGGTGGATGAGGAGGAGCCCTCTCCTGCAGCTCCACACTCTAAGGAAGCTCAGGAACGGCCTCAGGCCCAGATCCTCCCTGCCAGATGCTCTTAAAGGCAGCTCTGGACGGAGCTTGCTCCAGACAGGGGCCTCCCCGGCCAGGGCCTTCCCTCCTTGTGGCTGGGTTCTCCCCGGACAGACGTCCAGAACCCACACCCTCCCTCAGCAAGGCCCACGGCCAAGTGCTCAGGAGAGAAAGTTAGTCCACAATCGGAGGGGTGGATGTGGCCTCCCCAATCAGACGGCGGCTCCCACAGCTCACTCAGGCCTTGGCAGGCGCAGGCCACAAGCACACCGGGCTCCACGGAGAGCGCCAAGACCCAAGAGGACGACATCCAGCATTGCTGCTTGGCCAGCAGGAGGTGTCTCGACCACCTAGCTACAGGCTGTGTCAGGACCCCAGTCTTCATTCATGGGTCTCAAATTCTGCAGTTTGGGCAGTAAAACCTGGTGATTCCAAGTGTTTTTTTTCCCCAGAGCCCACCATGAAAGCTATAAAAACCTGCTTTTCTTGGGTCAAAGGGACAAAGCAACACTGTGGCTGAGATAAACCAATCAGAGCTCCGGACACAGGGGTGCTGGAACTGGGAGCATTGGTGGACTGAGCACCTCTGTGCCCCTTCTCTCTCCCCATGGGCCCTGCCCCACACAGACCCTCCAGCTCCACCCCGTGCCGCCCCAGCTCAGGAAGCACAGGCCAGAGCCTCCCCCAACCACAGGCCCCCACACCTGTATTCCTGGAGGTGCCCTCGGGGGTCCTGCCTCCCAGCCCAGACCCCAGGCTCTTCGCCCAACCCTTCAGACCCGCCGTTCTCCAAGCAAAGCCTAAGTCTATGCGGAGCAGCTTCTGGAAAAAGGATGCTGTGGCAGTCCCGCCCTCTGGGGCCAGAGTCTGGAGTGAAAGGCGGGGCTACCACCAGGGCAGGGCTCCTCCCTGCCCCGCAGCATGCAGGGAGCGTGTCCACTGCGTGACATCAGGACACCTGGACGGGCTGCTGGCCAAAGGTCAAGGAGAGATCAGATTGATCAGGCGGAGGATCATCTCCGCCGGACAAACCCAGGAGCCCCCTCGTCACTGACGGCCTCAGCCTCCAGGCCTGGCCTCAGTGGGTCAGACCGTGGGCTCAAGGCCAGGCCACCCCACGCCTCAGTTTCCCCCCCCCACACCTGAGTTTCTTCTGAGTAAAATGGGACGAGGGCAGCTAAGAGCACTAGGGGTGCCCCAGGCCTGTGTCCTGCTACGCGTGTCCCGCACCCACAACAGCACCCGGCTGGCGAGCAAGGACCCCTTGGCAAAGGTGGTGCCAGGCATCTTGTTGAGCACTGGGACCCAGCAGAAGAGGAAAGAGACTACGAAGCACCACTGGTGCACTGAGCCGCAGGAGACGCCCACAGGGACCCAGGCCTGCGACGCTGGAAGGACAAGGGGACGGGCAGGTGAGCCCCTTCAGGAGGTGGCTTTGCTGACGGGTGCTTCGCAGGAACTCCTGCCGCGGTCTGGCCTCTCCGCCTAGAGCACACCTGGCCCAGGGCAGGAGCAGGATGCATCCAAACATGGACGTGGGGCTCTTCAAGGCCAAGTTCACCAGCTGGGGCAATGGCACCTCCTCAGGGCCCCTGAAGCGAGACCGTGCTGGCTGTGCGTGAACTTCTGACCACGGTGGGCTGGGCTCTGCAGCCCCGACAAGCCCTCCGAACACTGCAGCGCAGCCTCGGGTCCCAGCCCGTGCCCTGTGCTCGGGGCCAGCAGCCTGTGTGCCGAACTCCCCGCCGTCCAGGGATGGGCAGGCTGGCACCGCGTGGGCCCCCCCCCCCGCCGCTTCCAAATAGGAGGAGACTTTAAAGGAACAGCCCCTCAGAGACACCCAAAAGATGAGACCGAAGGGTCCAAGATGCCACTGCTGTCCTCACCAGCAGCCAGGGCAGGAGAGCACAGAGACCCCAAATATGCCCACCAACAGAGCCTAAGGGGACGGTGCTGGGGCCCCGTGGCTAGGATGCAGGTGCGGGCCGGCAGGCAGGGCGCAGCACGTGGAAGGCCAACCACCAAAGGGCCAGGCTCGTGCTCAGCCACTTGCAGAGGAGCCACTCCTAGCTGGGCCTCAGTTTCCCCATGTGCCAAATGAGACATTTAGCCAAGATGACCTAGAGCTCCCTCCAGCTTCAGTCTGTGCTCCAGCCAACCTCCCTTTGTCAAGGAGGCAGCGTGGCGCTCAGGGCCCCATCTTGGTGGGTGTGACAAGTTCCAGGGGAAAGGAAGCCATGTGTCCTGACCACAGAGGCAGGGAATGGCAGAGCCAGAGCCCAGGAGGCCCAGGCCTCTGGCTCCTCATCTCTGCCCAGCAAGGGGTCAGCTGGAGTAGCACTGCCTGTGCAGGTTTTGGATGCCTCAAAGAACGTTCGTGGCTTATCTTAAAAATCCACATGAATTTTACACTCGAATCCTTGTTCTTTTTAATGTTTGTTTTTGAGACAGGTTCTCGCTCTGTCACCCGGGCTGGAGTGCAGAGGTTCAACTATAGCTCACTGCAGCCTCGAACCCCTGGGCTCAAGTGATCCTCCTGCCTCAGCCTCCCCAGTAGCTGGAACTACAGCTGCACGCCACCACACTCAGTTAATTTTTCCATAGAGATGGGGTCTCACTATGTTGAGCAGGCAGGTCTTAAACTCTTGGCCTCAAGCGATCCTCCGCCTCAGCCTCCCAAAGTGCTGGGATGACAGGAGCCAGCCACCACACCCAGCTCCTGTTCTTTTTTTAATATAAAAACATTTTCCCCAAAACCTCAGAGGAAGCCACTATGGGGCACTCACGCCGATTTAGAAAGCGTGGCCAAAAGCACCTCTGGTGACAGCTGGGGTCAGGCCCTCAGACGCACGACAAAAACCCAGCTGCCCACAGCCAGCACCCTCCTGCCCTCAGGAACACACCCCAGCTCAATGGGGCATTCCAGAACCCGCGGGCCACTCTAGACACACCTGCTGCCCGGGCCGGCCTTCACGAGAATGGGCTTCAGACAGGGACCCTCATACCACCTTCCTCCCTCATCACTCAACTCTCTGAGCCTGAAGACCTCAGGTGTCCCCAGGCTCAAGCCACCGTCCCCCAAGGCCCTTGCAGGAACTGAAGCCGCAGCGGCCACTCCCGCCTCAAGACCATGGGGACTCAGGACCCCAGCAGAGGGAGGGCTTGCCAGAGGCTGACCAGTCAGTGGCCTTGTGGCAGGCCACTCGCATGGAAGAAAATTCCACAGCTGTCTCCTCTGTGGTGTCACATCGGAGCTCTCTGGCCTGTTTCTTCTCGTGGACTCCTCCAGCTGGGTGGGTTTACCTCAGAAACCAGGCCGCTGCCTGGGCAAGGAGGGGCAGGCCAGGGCCAGCAGAGCCAGGGTGGGGGCAGTGCAGGGGGAGCTCTTTGGTGCTTTCAGTGGGAGATTTCAACTTCTACAAGTTCCCGACCCAAGACCCCCAAATCCCACTGGGACTAATCTGTGCTGAGGCCTGACCCTCACTTGAGTACACGCACGGGCCGGGTCCCTCGGGGCTCCAAGCAGGGGCAGCCACAGGCTCTGGACTGTTGCAACGTCAGCAAGGGTTGCTCGTGGCACCAGCAGCTAAAGACAGCGCTGATCAGCCCAGCCCCAGACAGGAACCCACCCAGAGCCCTCGGCACCTCATGTCCTCATGTGGGTAATGCTGTCTGGGTCCTCCATCCTAATGCAGAAATAAAGAAAAATACAGAATAGAGAAACACAAAACATCCAAAATTCAGAATGTCAGTCTCAGGCTCACATACGCGAAAGCAGTGAGAGAATCACCTGGGGCGTCAGTGCTGTGCCCAAGAACGGAGGCCCAGCCTTGTGCTGCCCACGCAGCCCTGGTACCCTGCTCCAAGCGCCTGCAACTCGCGGGGACAACCTCACAAAGGAGACTCGTGTGGCCACACTCAGAAACCAAATAGGTGCTGAAGAGAGGCAGCCGGGACCCAGACCGGCAGACCGCGGCTGGCTGGCGAGACACGAGGGCGCTTTCCTCTTCCCTCCTCTTCCTGTCCTTCCCACGATTTACGTAGCAAGCATGTGCCACATTTATGTAGTGGGGAAGGTCTGTTGTGTGTTTTGGTAAAAGAGCCAGAATTAAGCCTGCTTTCTCGACACATCGTTTTCCTTTACTGATCTGCCCCACTTCTCACTGAATCGGCGTCTGACCTAGTGTGGCTGTGCCCAAGTTGGCTTCGAGTGGGCCCACCACGAGGCTGAGCCACCTGTCTCCAGGGGGAAGCAGCCCTGAGCCTGAGCCACCAACCACGGGGCAGGGCGGGGCGGTTTCCAGGCCACAGAGGCAGCGCGCTGGCCATGCTGTGGTTGGACGCCCAAAGCTGCCTCCTCGAGAAGAGTGAGCGAGCAAAGGTGGGGTTGAGCCCACGCCTCAGGCACCCCCGTGAGACCCCACACCAGCAGTCCCGAGACGGAGGGAGGCTCCACAGCCAACCTGCTTGGACCATAGCGAATGCGCCTCCTGAAAGTGGGTGGGCTGGGCCCGTGCACCCCTCCCCACCTCCAGTGCGGTGCCCTCAGCCGGTGTCTGGCAGGAAAGCCATGCTCCGAGCCGCGGCGCCAGCCCCGGCCGCTCTGCTAGGCCACGGTCAGACCTGGCAGCAGCTCTCTCCACCCCCACGCTGCTGC